GCTTCAGCATATCCATAAAAGAGATGGAATCCATTGTGCTCAGCATGGATTTTTTATTACACTGTAACTACAGAAAAACTCACGAAGCGCAAACGAATCGCTCCTGCTAATTTTATGTAATTAGAGCTTTATAATATTAAAAAAACGTTACTTTGTTGCCTATCTTTATAGTTATTATCTGCTCTTTATAATTTTGCTATGAGCACACAATTTAATATGTGTTTATAGTACTTGTCATGCGTTGTCAAGCACATAGAACGTTAACCACGTTCAATATTTACTAATATTTTTTAACAAAGCATTATTTGAAAAAAAAATAAAAACAAAACGCTGAATCACGCTATTACAAAATCAAAAAAATTGCCACAAAAAGTCCAAAAGCCAAATTGTCGTCCAAAAAGTTGGAAAGTGTGCCAACAATGCTTTACGATCAAATGGCAGTTTTCTAGCAAACTGGTTATTAAAACGTATGTATGTTTTTTTGTAGATAGATATAAATATTACGATTGTAAGTAGTATCTACCACAGCGGCGGTCGAGTTTTTTGTTCACGTTTCTGTTTTCCGTTTCTTGCTTGCAAAGTTGTTTGCAAACACGTTTGAAGGAAGTGGTAACCAAATCAAAATCGAAAACATGCAATTCGGGCAAACGTCTATAGTAAAACGGTCAAAAGAAGAAGCATTCCAACAACACAAAAAACCAAAAGAAAAATGAGACTTGATATCTATTAAATAAAAACACTTTCGCGTAACGAAAAAATAAACGCAGCCAACACTGCTAACCGCTGAATAGCGACTGAATCAAAGTATTGGTTGCAGTGATGACTGAAGGCCGTGTGGCGCCCAAAGGTGCATTTCATGCACCCGCCACACTCAGCGCTGCTTTTGCCCCAAACTTTGGGCCCCAAAGCGATCATGCAGTGGATAAAAATTCTCGGCTGTTGAGCACACAGCTGTTTGTATAACTCTTTCTCTTTGTATCTCTCTCTTTTACTCTCTCGCTTTCTCTCCCTCCCTATATATCTTTGTCTCTTGTCGAAAATATTTGGCTTTCAAGTTGTTTTGGTTTTTCAAGTGCCACTCTAAAGTGCCTATCTCATTATTGCTTTCACATTGCCGGCTTGTACGAGTATTTATTTATAAATGCCGGCTGCTTTTTACTATGCGACAAAAGTGTTTATTTACGTGAGCTTTATTGTCGCTTGTGGATTGTATTAGCGCTGTTCGTTTTATGTCTATTTTTGAATAAAGTGGTAAATTATTTTTTTCATAGGGTGGCAACACCCTTTATGTACATACATATGTAGAATGTTAGACAAAAGCTTTTTTTGTTGAGGTACGCTCAGCTTTTAACAGTATATTAACATAAAAACAAAACCACTCTCAAATTTCCAACATGCAATAGAACAGTGTTGCCATTGTGCGACTTAAGAGGCTATTTGAACCTTTTTAGGCACCAATACCCTTTGACCCGACTTTAAACTTTTCAAGCACATGCAACTCTTCTCCTTGCAGCAACTGATTTCTCTGCATGTTCACAACCTTGTTTTGTACAAAGCTTGTCTCGGTATTTCCTTTTTAAATTCAACATATAAATTTGATTTTCACTTTGAATTTCAGATTTACTTATATTTTTCCTGGTAAAGAAAAAATACCGTCATTTTCCCGAAAAACTGGCCTCAGTATCTTTCTCCTAAAAAGCATGGATAAATCCATTATTTAAGAGAAGTCAACCTAAAGGAACGGCCTCTGAACAAGAACCAGTTTGCCTATCAACCAAGCAAATCCACAGAGATTGCCACTCATAGCCCCACTTTACAAATTGAGAACGCTCTGGAGTCTAAAAATATAGCCCATTGCGCCTTCATTGATATTTCAGGGAATTTTGATAGCACATCATATAAGGTAACACAAAACATCCGTATGGAATTAGGAGGTACGATATAATCGATAACGGCCTCAAGAGGATGCTTTCAGGGGGTTTACTCTCTCCCTTTTTGTGGACTATAGTTATATTATAACTCCTTTTGACACTGAACGCAAAAAGGCTACGTAGATGATATGGTAATCTGCCTAACAGGGCTCCATGGCGAAACTATCACATGCCATATTGCAGATCGATCTCTCTATAATGTACGGAACCCATACACCAAACCAAATGGGGAGGTCTAGTGAACAGATGAATCTAAGCCTGAAAATTTTAAAAGCAATGTGTAGTTAGCCCACCATCTTTCAGGCGGAGATTCATGCAATAGAAATTTGTGGCAGAGAATGTCTTAGAAGGGGCACATCACCGAAATATATCTGCATTATGTCGGGCAGTCAGGTAGCCCTAAAGGCCCTGAAGTCCCACAAAATAAGTTCTCAGCTAGTATTTGATAATGTCCTAAATGCACTTGGTGCCAAGAAAATAGTATTATTACGACAGGTACCGGGGAATGAGGGCCATGATGGCAATGAGGAGGCTGACTGCCTATCGAATCAGGGAGCTTCCGCAGTATTTCATTGTGCGGAAACCTTTTGTGGGCTCATTTTAAATTTGAAACAAAATTTGCTTGGAAGTATAGACCTGGAAAATCCACCATAGACCAGGTATTTCACTTTACGCCTAATCTTGGAGATAGTTTTTCTTTTATGTTATTTTATTTTATCTTTTTTTATTACATACATATGTAGGTAGTACATATGTGCAGACTAGGCTCTTTATATTATTTCATTTACTTCTACAGTTCATTTAGCTTTTATCTAATTTGTTACGCAGTAATTGCAATGATATTAGTTTGCACAAATTCGTTAATTCAAGATAATGCCAGTTAGTAAAATAATATTAATAAAGGTAAGCTTAGTCCGTAAAAAATGGCTTATCACCTTTCAGCACTTACCTGGAAGTTTATAAAATAGGTACTATTTAGAATACAATAATTAATTAAGCCTTTAATTTATTTTTAATTTCGGTTCGAAAATCGACAGACTTTAAATTTGCTAACGTGAAATAGATATGATGAAATACATACATATGTATGTATGTGTTTAAACGACTTATGCATTTCCCGCATAAACAAAGAACAACATTCGGAACTCGTTCAAAATATTGTTATTAATTTTTTCCGTACTTTGATTATCTGAGAAAATTTCAGCAGTTTTTGTCAAATTGAAACCATTTTTATCTTCTAAATTTCCTATTAATATTTTTAATTTGCTTCCAAAATGACTGACGGTTGCAACTAATTCACAGATGTCCTTGGTTTTCCCTTGAAGAAGCAAATTTAGCTCATTTAAAAGACTGTTTAAATCCCATAAAAAACCCAAATCAAGATTAAAATCTACATTATTTGGAGCCGTAATGAGTTCCTCATTAGTTGGGTTATAATCAATTTCAAAAAAATTAGAGGATCACCTTGCTTAAATTAAAAAATCTTTCCAAACATTAACCAACGTACTTCCGTATATAAAAGCAAATCTCCGCATTTACTTTCCAATTCTACGAGAAAATTTTAAATATTCGATGTGTTAATGAGTTTTGATCTCCTTTTATTAAATTATTTATTATTTTC